CATAAAAACCGCTGACGATGAGGCAAATAAACATTAGTCCTCCAGCGGCTACCTCAAACCACCTCACCAATGTAACTTCAACTGTAAAGACAAGAGAATTTATATATACTGTATAAGATGTTTTGGCAAGGAACCGTTTGAGAGTGGAGTTCTTCTATCCTCCATGGATACTCCTAGCAGAGACCGAGGGTCAAACATTAATTAACATAAACTAAATAATTTAATTAATTTTCCTCATTTTAATTTTTAAGCTCGATATCTCGAATCCTCAAAGTTTGTTTTTCTTTGTCTCATCTAGTCCGAGAAATCAAGGTTTTACTGTATAAGTGAGTCATTAGGTACAAGAAAAATACGTGTTTTATTTTTGTAAACCTTAAAGTGTCATTTATACTTTCTGAATCATTTTTCACCCTTTTTAGCTCACCTGAGCCGAAGGGCTCAAGTGAGCTTTTCTGATCAAAATTTGTCCGTTGTCCGGATATTGTCGTGAACTTTTCACTGTTCATACTGTATAAGATGTTTTGACAAGGTTCCTTGGGTAAAGGGGAAACGTTTGAGAGTGGTCATGCCCTTTTCCAATGGGAGATAATTATGAATTAATGAAAAATTAAATGCATTTTTAAAAAATCTTCTTCTAGCAGAGGCCGAGGAAAGTCTCAAACATTAATTGTAACATAAATCATGACCCCTGGGGGAAGGGTGGGGCCAAAATGGCCGAATTTTACATTAATATATAGGAAAAATTTTAAAAATCTTAATCTGGGCCAGGAAAGATATCATGTGGAATCATCCTCAGATAGTTTAGTTTTTGTTTGTCTCATGGAGTCAAAATGGCCGAGTTTTATATAGGAATATATAGGTTTTACTTCTATAAGTACTTCAAAGCCATGATTGGTACATGTAATAAAAATATACGTGTTTTGTTTTTGTAAGCCTTAAAGTGCCATTTATACATACGGTTTCTTTCTGAATCATTTTTTCCCTTCGGTTTTTAAATTATTATTTTCTCTATTTTAAATATTTTTTAGTCGTAGGTGTAAGTTCTCCCTGCATAAGGTATTTTTCATCTCCCTGTGATGTCATAGAATTTTGCAAAAAAAAGTTAATGTAAAATGGAAGTTAAATTCATATTCAATAGAAAAAATTCTTTTACAAGAATTCATTTCTAAAAGTGTAATAATAAATATTGTTGAGAAAAAGAATTTTAAAATGTTTACATGTTCTTTATTTTATAAATTATTATTATTCAATCAGAATATTATCTTAAAAAAATTTGTAGCTTCGCAAACTTTTGAATGAGTGCAGACTGCGATTGACAGTTCAATGAAAATGAGTTTTCAAATATACAAGAAGTACATGTATTTACAAAAGTGTATTAAACAGAAGGTTTTTAATGATAAGAAATATTTGATATATATTTTTGAAAAATGAAATATATATAATTGCAAAACGGACTTTGTGTGGCACTATCTTAAACTTTTAATTGAATTTAAAAAATACAACTTATTGAGGCTTGATAAGTCGGGGAAAAAATATAGACTACTTTTAAATGAACCATAAATCAATTTTATATGCATACATAAAATAGTTTAATATCTATCCTTTTATGAGATTTATTTCAAAATATCAAATATAAAATAAACGTCATCGAACAAAATTGTCAGTTTGGCCAGACTCGGAGATTTCTTTCATTGTAGAATGTATACAATAAATACAATAAAGAGCCTTTCAGTAGAAAGTGAATTATTTGTTAGCAGGTGCTATGCTTAATTGAATACGTCAACTTTAATGTCGTTTCGTTTGGGATATCGTCAGACTGATTTTAAAAGATTTGGCAAGGCTGCCAATATAAAACGGAAACGTGCAAAACTTCGTTCTCATGTGCATAAAATATATTAAAGAACAAGTGACTTGCAAAATTTTTCTTTAACTCTGACTTTAATTTAATGTATTTAATTAAAATGACGTTTTTTAATATGAAGTATTCTTTAACGAGAGTTGTAAATTCAAAAGACAAAACCTATACTTCCGACAGCTACATCTTTTGAATTCCATGAGAAAGAAAATAAGGAAAGAACGACGATAAAAAAAAACAACAACAAACAAAACCAAAAACCAAGCTTTAAAAACCTACAAGATTCCTTCGAGAAAAGGACTGAGAAGACCCAATAATATAAATTATATTGAACCTCAATCAAATATTGACTTGAAGAAGTGGGGACTGAGGACATCGTCGCAAACCTCGGGTTTTGTGTCCTTTCCATTACCCCAAACCACAGGCTTTTGAATCGCTTTGAAAAGAATTGTGTGTGTTAAAAAAAGATATATCCCAGTGGCGGATTTAAGGGGGGGGGCACACCCGGCTCACGCCCCCCTAAAATTGTCAAAGTTAACGTAAATCACAGTGTTGTAAATATGTCTACTCGGTAGACCTCATTTTTACCCTATAAAATCTCTAGAATCAAGGAGCTTGCGGGGGCTCCGCCCCCTGGTCCCCCACCAGGGCTTTGCCCTGGACCTAATTTAAAGAGGACGACCCCTTGTACTTTTGAAACCCAGAATTCAATTCCTTTCTGCGCCAAATCTTTTTTAGCATTTCAATTTTTTACTAAGCACTGAAGGCCCCCCCCCCCCCCATAGTAAATAATTATAATTTAAAAAGGACATGGGATTATAAATACCAAACCCAGAATTGATTCTGATACAAACATGACAAGAAATTTGAGTTGCAAAATAAGACAATGTTCGAAAGAAACGGTGTTATAAATTTAAAAATCGTTTCCAATATAAAGTTATACTTTAAGAAAATTTAACATATCCAATGTGTATTTGCGCAGTCCAAAAAATCGAGATAGGACTGCTGGGTGATACATTGGATTTGTAAGTCAAATGTTGGACAGTTTTGATGGTTTTTGCGTCAAACTGTAGTCGACATCACCTATCGCAAACAGTAAAATGTACTTTGTAATAACAAATTAACATTTATTGACTGTGTTCTCCGAAAAAACGCGGTTTGTCGTCCACCTGTTGCAAACTATTCACTTTCGGTGGCCTCGGCCAAACAGTTAGCTTCTTGGGTCCAACAAAACGCGTATTGCCCTCGAACCCAGTCAATAAATTAAATATTGTGTGTTTATCTTATTTTTTTTTTACACAGTAGGAAAATATGGAAAATCTCACAACTACATACAGTATTAAGAATATATGAGTCAGTTTATACACGAAGGTACTTTTCTCGGTGTGACAGGACAAAGCAGTTTAACCACCACAGTCCCACTCGGAGGTCAAAGGTGTCCTTCACCGTGTTATACGTCATCCAGTTGTTGGTTACATTGCCCGCAATCTGAAGTCCTGTAGCACACATCAACAACAGAAAACCTATCTTCGCCCAACCGGAAGCCTCTCCGCAGCAACCCATTTTACAGTATATAGTTCCAATATGGGAAGAGTTAAATTTCTCCAAATTTTCTCATTTTGTCGTTGTGGAACAGTACTAAACCAGATTATAAAATGAAAGGGGTAAATTGTTTTAGATACGTATTTTTGTGTCACTGAGCACTGTGTTTTAAAAATCTGACAAGCGTTTGATTGGCTTTCTTTTCTTTGTTGAGGAAAACAATTACCTGCTATGAAATTCGATCATGTCATGTAAAGTTCGTATTGTTTTTGTTAAACGTCTTTTCAGTTAAGCTTATCACAAAAAGTGTTATTTCTTCGCTTGATATGGCAAGATAGAACATTGGGTCGACGACATAAAGCAATGAACAGATGGGAAACAAGCTAATTCAGAGAATTTGTGTCCCCCGCTTAGGGAAAAAGTAAAAAATACACAGTTCGTGGGGAGGGGGGGGGGGGAGTCGGATCCCCCTGACTGAATTTGTAGAATTATTAAATGTATACATGTTTAATGAAGCAAATAAAATATGGCAATATGGATATAAAGATTTGATTGCTTATTCTTTATTAAATGTATAAAAGATTCTTTTTATATGAATATTTAACACCCTGTAATGATGATCTTATGAGTTTGTACAAGCCACTCCTCATAAATTTTTCATTTCTCATGCTGAATACTATTATTTAGTGAAAAAAAAGTATTTCGGGAAAAAAAAAATTAATGATTCGTCGGGGAATCGAACCGGGGACCTTTCACATGTGAAGCGAGAGACATACCACTACACCACGGGGTCGCTCTACTGGGAAGCAAATTATATGCAATCATGAAGTCGCATACATGTATACATTCATGTTCGGTATTATCAAAATTTTGCATTCTATACACAATATACGGTGTTTGTTTTATTTAGCCTTTATTAAACAGTTCTAATAGATGTAATAAGAACATAATGTCCGCCGAGAACCTGTTTTATACGCAATAACTCTCCTCATGCCCCTGTGCTAAAAATAGCGACATGTAATACAATAAATACTAATAAAACAAGCGGGGCGGGGCACTTTGAGAGGAGTGAGAGAGGTCCTAGGGAGTTTTGGTATAACATTACATAGCAAAAGCTCAAAATCTTCTTGAAATATCGCCCGAAAATGATAGTGTTTCATACAAACAGAATGTATAAATTTATGACCTTGAACTTATTTTGACCTCAAAATTTTGTTTAACCACAGGGAGTTTTATGTAAAATATCATTGCAAAAGCTTTAAGGGTTCTCGAGATATCGTGTGGAAACGAAAGTGTTATAACAGACAGAATTTGCTTATTTATGACCTTGACCTTTGACCTTTTGACCTCAAAATCAATAGGGGTCTTCTTTAGTCGATAGGGAGTTGCTATGCAAAATTTCATTGCAAAAGCTCAAAGGGTTCTCGAGATATCATGTGGATACGAAAGCGTTACAGACAGACAGAAAGACGGACTCTGGGTCGTCGTCATAATATCCACTTTTCAAGCGGGGGACAAAAAGTATTGCAGGTCATGTTTAAAGGAAAGCTTTCTTTAGAAGTTAATCCATGGCAATCATGATACATGAGTGTCAATTTATTTTCTGTAAAGTATGCAAATAACAAATAAGTCAAGTGAACAAAATGTTATCAGTAGGCTACGCGATCCCTCTGTAAAGTAATTGGAGAAATGTTATTAAAAGTAGCAGGATCGGAATTATAACTATTATTGCTTCTGTTCCATGTATTTTCCACCGGTGTCATGGGTTGTGGCATTCGGTCATATTCGGACCGTGATGATAAAGGCGTGATACGGTCGTTCCGGGAGTAGTCCCTTTCGCTACTGAAATCTGGAGACACGGATCTTGTTTTTTTCCTGACCCCTGACCCTGGTGAAGTGCAGTCTGTACAAAATCCATAAGATCTTTCCTCGTCGATGTCTGGGATGAGAAGAAATCCAGCTATGAACAGCAATACGAGCGCTATTACACTGAACCCAAATGAGTATGACACTGCCCAGGGATCCGTGACGTATACGAGCCATGCAATCATCCCCATTAGTAAAAACAATGCTGGAAAAGATTGTTTTTTACTTACATTGTAAGAAACACCATTCGAGTGCCCAATTAAACGTTAAAGTTCTATGGCAACATTTGTAAAGTAACAAATAAAGTTATACACTGCAAATCTGAGTACTGTTCTAAATAAATGATGTGAGTCACGTGACTTAACACTTATTCAATAATCAGGTAAAATAATTCAGTTAACTTATATCTTGGTTAACATAATCATGGCACCGAGAAATTCTGTTGTTTATCTTAAAAAAAACAGTGTTATAGTGTAAAAATCTAATAACATTTAACTCGCAACCATCCCACAAAATGTTACCTGTAACAAAACATCCCGCCATACACCAGGCCGCCAGTCTGGGTCCCCTGAAGCGATCCGACATTACATACACTCCCATCAGTATCGGTATCAGCAGGCACAGAATGAAGGCGATTGTCTCCATCGCCTGGGTTGTCCTAAAAGAATCTGAAACAAAACCGAACACGTGTCATAAGAAAGAGAAATCGAACACGTGTCATTAAAGAGAGAAATCGAACACACACATATAGAAAATTCTATATTAATTTAAGATGACGCTTTCCGTATGTCTGCTCCATAAAGAAGAGGCATGTATACAGTAAATTATAACTTTACAGGTTCCAGCGGGATCAATTGTCCTTTCTGACCGTCTGGATCATCGACTTGAAATAATCTATTCTTAGTAGGATGTTTCACACCTCCCAATTTCGCTTGGTTGAAAGAGATTACATTGGTTTTTGTCAATAGCTAATTCAAGAAGGATATTGTGAACTTATACTACGGCTCTGATTTTGTTGGTAGTGATCAGGACAAGTACATTGTAGTGTTTATTACCAGATACCCAGATACCAATGCCCGTGAGTGTGCTTCAGCCACTCTTCAATATGTTGGTATTATTCTTGACCATGCCATTGTTTAAGTCTTTCTTTTTTGGAAACCAATACATACTCATATATCTATTACTAGTCTTATCAATAAGCGTTTTCCCTTAGGTGATCTTTGATAAGTTAAATAAACTAACCATTTTTATATGAAATATCAACAGAAGTCTCCGAACAAGTACTCGTGCACGTGCGTGTCTTCCACAACCCGACCCTCGTGGTTGTTCCCCCACTGGTTCCTATCATCCAGGAGGGGGTGGACCACGCCACCACGTGAAGGAGGGAGCCCAGCATCACACACCCCCAGGACAGTTTGGCCCACCAAGAGGAGTATCCACAACACACCATCTTTACGTTGATGTATATGTTTATAATAAAGTCACAAAGTCATAATTCTGGGCTATTCCATTTCACACCAAATATTGAATAAATGAAAATCTGAAGAATTTCACAGAAAATATCCAGAATACCTTTTTAACCACAAGTATACCTAGCTCCAAATTCGTATACGAGAAGTGATATTACGGATTCAGGAATTCGAAAATCTTGCAAGTTTAGTTCCTCAATAAAGAAAGAGAATTTGATGTTGTTTCGATGTTGACCAGATGATTCAATGGTGTGTAGAAGATTTGTCAACTCCATTTCAAAGAATATACTGAGCCAATCATAGTTTTGATTATCTAATTCAAACATGACGAAACTTATACGCCATTTTATCTTTTGATACCGTTTTCAGCTGAAAAGATGTTTGAACTTTTAATGGTTTAGAGGGTACACTATTTAAATCTCATTGCATTTTCTCAATCCATATAAAAGTTCTGTTTCAGAAAATTTCTGTTCATTTTATTGATTGTATACCTTTAAGTGTGAATTGGATTAAAATTCATTTTTGCGAGCTAACTGACTGTAAAGGTGCAGATTCAATAGCTTTAAAATCCACAGAAAAATAAGTGTTGTACACATAGATAAAGAATGAATTGGATTTTAAACATTACACATAAATACGTTTTATTTAACTTTTCTTTTTTCAAAACTTTTATGTCTAGTATTTATTTTCTTAAATTTTCGTTCATAATAATGAAAGATTCCTTTCATGTTTGTCGATTTGTTACAATCTGCCCTCTCTTATAAACACTTCTTGTCGATAATTTTTTAAGGCAATTCAAGTAGAGTAGTGTAAAATACCAAGCGTTGATTTGTACAGAAAATATTTTCTCTTGACTGTAACTTAATTATCTCCCTTGAACCATGACATCGACATCAACAGGCGCGGATCCAGGAATTGAAGTTAGAGGGGACGCCAAAAGTAGGCAAGGGGTCTGGGGGCCGCTTTGAGGCCCCCAGTGGGTCCAGGGCAAAGCCCCCGGAAGATCCTGGATTCTAGAGATTGTGTAGGATAAAAATGAGGTCTACCAGGCATATTTACATTTTCAAGACGAAACTGATTTACGTAAATTTTGAATTATCTCCCCCCCCCCCCCTTAAATCCGCCACCGATCAAGGAAAATTTCTAGGATTCTTATTTTTGTCTAGATGGATTTGGTGATCTATCCCCGTTATTATAAGAAGGAATTGGGTGTTTCAACTCAAAGGGAAATGTATGTGACAAATCGATCCTAGGAAGGTCATTTTGGAAAAGTTAAAGACTGATTCTGAGATTTCTTCTCCATAGAATGGTCTGATATTTATAATTCTCTAACCCCTGGCCCGCCCCGATTGGATCAACTCATGATATTGATAAGATCTTCATTTCCATGTGAAATCTCTCCTTATTTAAATATATTAAACCTTTAATTAATAGGGGTTACAGGTGTTGCTAGATACATACAGGAAACAGATCTTTGCGGGCAACAAAATACACTGGCAGCTTCTGAGTTATATTTGACCTTGGACTGGCCGATACCTTGACCTTGAACCTTCGCTTTATCATGCTAGTATGAAATTGATGTCTTTTTAAAATCTTTGGATCTTTTTACAAAATATATTAGAACTAAGACATTTTTTAAGTCACCCAAACTTCTAAGCTAGAATAGGTCACAAAAAAGTTTTTCTTTGTTTTCATTACATGTAACCATTTTGTCAGTAATTCTTTTCAGAAAATTATTTACAAAGAAATTTATAATTATAGAGTTGACAAATTTATTTATTGAAATTGATAACAAGGCAATATTTAATAAAATCTCTCCACAAGGATAAACCATCATTTTATATAGCTATGTCTTTGTCCAAAAATCTACTTCCTTGCAGAAGAAGAGCAAACCACGTTAGCATCATTGCCTTTGGGCTTCATTCCCTTTATTTCCTGGCATGCATTAAAAGATATTTGTCACCAGGAAAATATCTTATCAATACAACCCAAAGAGACCTACATCAAACTAAAAGAAGTTTTTTTTGGAAATTTCAAATTCCATTTCCTTTTGAATGAATGGTTTGAAATTAACAGCTAAAAGGGGAACGATGTAACGGAAAAAGGAAGTGTTGTTTACTGAGTTAATGTAACAAACAAATCCGTTTAATTTCATGTTTATTTCAGCATATATAAATATACACCATGTGTACAAATGAACAGTGTATTTTTTTTGGGCAAAAATCACAAGAATCAAGTTAAAGCTTGCTCTTGACAAACTCAGTAACAATATAAAAAGAGTATTCAACAAAAGACCAGCTGTCTTTTTGAACAGATAATTTAATATAAAGGCTAGCCTATTAAGTCCTTCCTGTGTAATTCCTAAAATATATAACAATTTAATATTTAACCACAAAACAGATGGTATAAAGGGAATTGTTATTCATAACCAACAAGACCCTATAAACAACATTGGAAAACAAGACTTAAAACATATCTATTATTAACCCCAAATATTTTTTTTCCTTTCATGCTTGGTTTCACAATCGATAGAGTACCGATATTCATTCCTATAATGAATACTTGTGTGACTGACTTGTGCAAAAGTGATACACAAATTAATAAAGTTCTCTGATTAAAGTTATTAAACAAATGAATGATTAAATATATTTGCATCATTTTAAAGGAGTGTACCCTAGCAACAACTCTGTAAACAAATCCCAGCATCCTCTCTGATTGTCCTTAAAAACCTGCCAACTGCATATGTATGGGAGTATTATATAAATACTTTTGAAAATGTTTGTATAAAATGATCATTTTCAACCATTCACTTGAAACACACTTTTAAAAAATAATACAAATTTGTCCATTAATTGCCCTAACTTTCACAAAATTTCGTTTTTGCATTAATATGCAATACATTAATATACCATCTGGGAAAAACAGGCAAAAGGCTTAAGGAAACAGGTTTCGAAACATTTATATCTAATAGTAATGATCACACATGAGTGATTAATATACATGATGATGCGACTCTAATTGATGTCGTTGAACAGTTCAGGACATGATCACAAATAGTAATACAGTACATTGTTTTCAAGATTCTACAATGGAAGAACAGTGTCAAATCGCTTGCTTTTATATATTATTCTTGTTAAATTGCTTCTTCATGTTCTGGTCTTTTCACAAAACACAAAAAAAAATTAATATCAAATTAAACATTGATGTGATATAATGTGCATATGCAGCTATTCTGGACATGATCACAAATAGTAATACATTGTTTTCAAGATTCTACAATGGAAGAACAGTGTCAAATCACTTGCTTTCATATATCATTCTTGTTAATAAATTGTTACCCTTGTGGTCCCAAACAGCATGTTGTTAATTATTGACACGTAAAAAAAAAATGATGTTGTGACTGGTCTTTTAACATGATAAATACAACTTTAAGTGACACATAGTTTTTTAGTGCGATTTTGAGGAATACTTAGCAGTTATAATCATATCAATTTTGGTATTGATGTGATATAATGTGCATATAAAACATGGTGATGTAATCAAGACCTTGCATAAAAGTGATTCAGTGAATCTGATCTGTAAAACTCTTTTCAGTATAACAGGACTTAAAAACACATAAAAACAGGAAAACAGCTAAACTATTTCTTAGGAATCCTAGAATATCGTCAACAAATTAACTTCTGGTTCAATGACTAACAGAAAGAATTTAACAAGTAATAAAACAAAGAAAGAATTCAAGAACTTTGGCAGCAAAGGGGAAAAAGTTCATCACATGATTATAAATATCATCAACTATTATGACCATCATTTAACTAAAAACTAACAAGCACCATTCAAAAGTGAAATTTAAAAACACCCAGTTCAAAGGTCACATTCGGGGCCGAGCGATTGGATGAAGCAGTTTAATATGGCTGGCGTTCTGTACTGGTAGATTGTGTCGCGTGTAATAATCCACCATCTCTGGCACCGTCGGAAAAGGCTGGCTGTTCTCTCCTAGGACGTACTCCCCGTGTAACAGACTTATTCTGAGGTGCATCGGAATTCCACCTATACCCCTGTAAAAAGATAAAATCACTCTGTTAGTGTGAAGTCAGACTATTTTTCAGGGAAATGAACCCTCAAGGCTGTAGCTATTTAAAGATTTGTGTGGTAAATATATCTAAACCACAGTGAATAATCATTTCCTATCTGGCCACATGTCCAAGGGACATAACTAGTATATCTCATAGCTAATGCTGCAACAGTGAATTGGGTATGATCAATCATGCATTTTAGAATACAAATATTGCAAGCCTATTTTATTTTCTATTTTATTCCTTTACAAATTCACATGCTTGATCACACAGTTTTATCTAATTTCTTCGTAACTTGCTTCACATAAGCAAACACTGTTATAAATATTGTATCTAGTTGCCTGGGTTTAAGTGATAATTTGTGAATATTGATAAACATAAATCTACTCAAGTATCAGGAGAAAAACATTATGTTCACCACAATATCTTAATCCTGCTCTTTCTTGTTTTGATTTCTGTCATCCTTAGCCTTGGTGGCAGAAAGAAAACATTCTTTTATCACTGAGCCTCCATCCTATTTATTTATCTTAACTTGGCACTCTTGTTTCCCCTGTTGTTATGTGATCAATTGTGTACAAGGCAATCTTTTAGCTAGATTTTTTTCCTAAGTAAACCCTGCTGTTATGTATTTACTGTGTGAAATGAAAAAAGACAATACAAGGCTTTACATTGCCCATTTCTACTGCCATGGCAAAAATTGATTATTTTTTTATTTTTAACAATGTCCCTACCCTTTTTATGCCCTGGATTGAAAGATAGAGTGGGGCTATGACTTTCATATTTCAAAGATGTACTGTAAATGTATTATATTTGGCGTTTACGATATTTGGCGGAAATTGATTTTTAAAAGGTTAGCATAGATTTGATTTAGCGCATTTATTCATTTTTGTATACATATATCTTGCAAATATATATGTGCAAGACATTTAGCTTTGTAATTGAATAAGCCGATGTTTCTCTCCGTCAAAGGCGCTGAAAGATAAGGTGGGGCTATGACTTTCATATTTCACAGATGTATTCTTTGTGACAAGACCTTTCTTTAGATACCACCAAATTTGATCTTGGACTTTGACCTACTTTTACAAAAAAAATACCAAACTTTAACCTTGGCTGTAACTTTTGAACAGTTGGATCTAGGGCTTTCATACCTCACATGTACATTTAATGTGACAAGACCTTTCAGCTGGTATAAATATTTTTGACCTTTTGACACTGACCTAAGAATTTCACCTGCTTTTTAAAAAAACTTTATGGGGATATAATACTACTGGTTTGTTTTGGTATATATTGAGTTTAGTTGACTTACTTGAGCGACAGAGAGAAGACGTTTTTCTGAGTCTCGCTTCGCCTCACTAGATAGCTTCCCTCTTTATGGATCACCAGTAATTCCTCGGCATCTTTCCTTGTAATCCCACCATGGTAAAATCTATAACATATAGCATTTTTTATAGATTTTTGAGAATTTTATTTTTTAGAAAAACAAAGCCAACCTGTGAAAAAATTATCTTGAAGCATTACTTTTAAAGTTGTATGATTTTGACTACTGTGCAAATCTATTGATATTGTTAACCCTTCACCTATGATATTTCTTTGGGCAATTTTTTGACATTTCACTTAAAATTTTGAAGGTTTGTAAAACCTAATCATTGAATTATAACATTTAATTAACTCAATAAACTCAACCCGACATCTGTTATGTGACTATGTCCCTGTTAAAGGATAACATACATTGTGTATGACAAATGTTCATACAGGAAAGATAATCCTAGATTCACCTTGAAACACTTAAAAGAAATTAACTACAATAATATCTTACACCAAAACAGGAAACAAACCAATATACATCTGAAATGTATATCAGTGAATTATCAGTTTACAATTTCTTGTTATCAATTTCCTTTTAAACCGTTCAAAACTCCTAAAGACTTACTTTTGTATATCGAGGGGTAGTTTGGGGTCAATAGGCTCTGCCATGGCTTTAGACAAGGGAGGAGAACTAGTTCTTCTAGGGGGTGGGTGTTCCGGCGTTCTGTTGGGTACTGCAAGATAATGATAAATATTTCAAGATTACAAACAAAGATTAATATGTTTTATTGTTTTTTTTCTTAAAAACAGGAAAAAATTAAAACCTTTAGTAGAAACACAGACTAGGTGAACCTTTTAGTATATAGACAAATTGTTGAACCATATGTTGTAACTTGTATCTGAGATTTGTGTAACTAACTTTAAATAATAGCAATTTCATGAAATTCTTGCTCCTTTTGAAATTTCAACATATCCATGGTATTCGAGATATCAGTGTTAAAAATAATAATGTTTATAACTATTTGCAGTTGGAAAGAATGTACCCCGTAATTATAATATTACATGAACTATATGATGATAAAAGGAATTTCAAATCTACACAAACTATGAAACCAATATTTTTCCCTCAAACCTTGAAAATTTGACCCCACAAAAATATGTTATTTTACAGTATTCAACATTTAAAGGGACACAAAATTTGCTTTGAAATGGACAGGGTTACAGACTGCCTCATGTAAATAACAGAGAGATAGTAAAATGAGAAAATAAAGATAAGAATTTACATAAAAAACAGATTACACAATTGTTCAATTGCACATTTTTCACTATATACATTTTAAAGAGTATTTAGCCTGACTTACACGACACCTGTGAGATGATTTTGGACTGTGGTCTGATGTCCCAGGCATCTTCATATGTCTGGGGTGGTGGAGGGGGTGCGAAGTCTGGGGGTGGGGGGCTCCCCGAGGATCTCTGACCGCCAGACAACCCAACACGACTAAATTTTTCCTGCAACTCTTGTTCTTTCTCTTTAGAGTCCCAGGGCTGTTCATAATTTGACATGTACACTTGTCCTTCATTTTGAGTGTTTTTTGTCCCTACGGAGGGAAGTTTACGCACTGATGATTTAGGAGTGGAGACAGGCTCCTCGTATTCATATCGACCCTTCGGTCGCGACTCACTGGCTCTGCGCGCTTCCTGCACCCGAGCCTCTATCAGTTTCTGTTGAAAATCTGAGTCCCAAGCATCTTCATACACATCCATTTTGTTCCGAGGTTTGTTTGGACTTACAGGTGAAGTGGGCTGACTATTTCGTGACACTATTTCTGCTTTCTCACAAATCTGATTAAAATGTTGCTGTTTTCCTTTGGAATCCCAGGGATCCTCATACTGCGGTATGACGGGGCCGCTGGGAGATCGGGGGGATTTGGGGGACCGCGGGGACTTGGGGGACACAGTATGTTTGGTTCTCCAGCTACTGAGGTGGTCGTAGTCCTGGGTGGGATTTCCCTCCTCTGTTGTTCCTCCCGCAGGATCAGATAGAGTTCTGTACAGAACCTTGGTCTCCTGGGGTCTGGCGGCACTCACTGACTTTGCCAGGGAATAAACACCTGATTTCTCTTCCAACGGAGATGACTTTCGGTTTCCACTTCCGTCTCTTCTAATAGCTACGAAAAAATAAAGATATAAATATTAATCCTCAATGTATAAATGTACAGCCCTCTTTCTGCTTATCCTAATCACCCGTTTGGAATGTTCTACACATTCAGGTCTATTGTTAATGTTTATAAATAACATAAAGAAAGGGGGTGTTATATATTTATCTTAACGATTTACATTTAAAAAAAATAAGTTTATCAACCAAGGTGCAGAATATTTACATTGTTATTGATAACCCTGGGGCTATAGTGAACAACATTTTTTAAATGCCAGACCTTTTTATTCATCAAGAAGAAGAACTTTAAATCCTCAAGCCACACAACTTCCCATGAGTAAGACATTATAATCAGACACAGGTTTCAAATAATTATTCCTGGTTATCAAATTTTTTGACCCCATGAATTAATCATCTACTTAAAAATCTTATATGATATATTGTAAAATTTCTATAAAGCCTTCATATGTTTATAATAAACCTTCATCATTCAAAATTTGTTACAGATTACTCGGAATAACAGGAAATTATTTAATACTGCATGAAATGAAAGTTGATTATCAAATCTAATTTTAACAACAAGGACATCATACAGCTATCATTTCTTAAAGCTATATATTCTTACAAAGAAATAGTCAAAAACTTCTAATTTCTTACCAGATTGTTAAACCTGTTTGGTTGAGAGAGAAAAAAACAGAAAATAAGTTCCAACAAAATGTTACTATTCCAAGCTAAAGCAGATTTAGAGGAAAAGCCAACAGGTAGAACTAAACACACATAGGGAAGTGATGCCACCAGACACTGGCACTACACTCTAATTAAAAGCGTGGTTTCCGAGAGATTCCAAAGCAACTTCCTATACATAACCCTGTCTGGTTCCAGAAGAGTGACTCCGAATACATGATGTTTACTAATACACACCTACAGCTAAATCGCTACGCATGACTGACAGAAGTCAATAAGCATCAGCGATTTAACAGGTAGGTCAAATACCTGATTAATTATCTCATCATGACGTAATATTTTACGGTCCCTGCATGTCAAGGCTTATTTAGAGTCCCTTGGATTATTTAATCTGTCCACACCATCAAGGAGTGACAAATACACTGTAGACAATTTATGATATAATCATATTGACAATTTTATAAATCAGTTGTAATTGACATTTATTTACAGAGAGCTTAATTATTAAAACATCCATTGACCAAAATTTTTGACCAATTCGCTCAGCTATATGGTATAATGAATCGGTGCAAAAAAAAAAATTTCTTGATTGCAGATGCAATGCAGTTGGCTGTAAATTCATTATGAAAAAGATGGAAATGCAAAATCATTTCAGACTTACAACATTGAACAAATTTCCTTTAATCAGGAAATGGGATTTTCGTACATTATAAGTCCTTCAACTCTAGCAATTAGCCTAGCACTTTTAGCCAACATTTATAAATCAAAGCCATTATAGTTCAAAAAGTAAGCACCTGTGATCATTAGTAAAAAGGAGACCTCATGTGATCATTATCATGGAGCTATACCCACCTTCTGGATAAAACAGTCCCACATAAAGTGTATAAAACAAGTGAACTCCATATAGTGACACAGAGTCACCATCCTGTTAAGTAATGGAATGTGAGGCCATCAAAGGGGAAGTAACTTATCACTGACAGTTTATCTGTGTCTTTAATTATCATATACTTATCAATGGATAAAAAGTTATGCTATAATTATAGATAAGGGGGAAATGGGAAAATCAAAGTCTTAAAAAAAAAATTTTATCTTCTTATCCCCCCTTTTTTCCCTCTGACATGGAACTTAAAATGACAGGAAGAATCCAATAACGGAAAATATTTTTAAACCTCATGACATTTCCATTAAACTTTACTTCATAACTCTCCAACACTGTACTTGTGTGAAGATGGATGGATTAAGGACTACTAATGCAACATACATGGACATATACTTTACAGTGAACCTTTTCCACTGATAATTTTTCAAGATTTTTTAATTTATGTTCTTTATAGGCAAAAAAATCAATAAACATTTCCAGGATTTTTGAACATTTATGAACAGATTAAAATACTTCCTTTTTTTTAAAAGAAAAAAGTAATTAGGAAAAAAGTTGCCCACCCCCATTTTATTCCCCCACCTCGATTTTTTCTTCGTCTTAATTCTGTATTTCTCCAAAATTTGAATCAGAAAAAGTGTACAGCAACACATGAGACATCATAAAATTGCAACAAGATCACTCAGTTATTTAAATTATTCAGGAAATACAAAAGTCAAGTTTATAACTACTTGTTTATATGTCAACCCTTAACTTATATTGTATTAGACCATCATGGATTCAGGAAACTGTTTTAAGAAGTCTACAGTAACTCTATGCAAACTTGAACTAATTTCCTATCATCTAATTTTTATTGTTAATTTTCAAACTCTTTTCATAATTAAATAAACATGTTTAAACCAGAAGTCTCTGATAAAATTGTAGCTCAACTGGAGTGTATATACTTATAATATAGCAAGATGTGTCTTAGTTAGTCTTATTTGTATATAAACTCTAATCAAATCATAACTGTAGGAAGAGTGGCATTTAAAAAGAATTCAAAGAAAATTCTATTTAAGGTCTTCCGGCTTCAGCGGAAGACCTTCTAGTGATTCTTAAGTTTCTTTTTCACTTTTCTTATTATTATTATTGTTTTTTTTCTTACCGATTTTGTGCACGCAATTTCTCGAAAATGGCTCAATCGATTTCTATGAAACTTTCAGGACTAATGACGCATTTCTTGAACTCGATTCATTTTTTTTCGTTTTGATGACGTCACTTCCGGTTCGGAGTTTTCTGCGATTTAGTGATTTTTAGAGGGTCGCTTTGTCTGGCATTTTTCTCAAAAAGCACTAAACACAGACTCATGAAATTTTCAGTGATGCTAGAGCAACCTTTGAAGAAGGGTATTAGGTATATAATAACTACCGGAAGTATGAAGTGCTGACGCTCGTTATGGTCCGAAAATAGTCCTATCGCGAATTTCAAAATTTTAAACACATTTTGTATGATATCTTTTTACCCGGAAATATTTTGTTAAAATATATAGAAGACAAGAAGTGCAGAATTCCAAGATCTTTCAAATTATATCTTGTAAAAGGGGCTGGCCCGTAAAATTAAGGGCTTAGAGGGGCCGAAAGGTTATTCTTTATATCTCAAAAAGTATTGAGAATTTGTAATACGTCAAAGAAGCAAAGTTGTTCAAAATGTCAAGCTTTATCTAATGGGGTCATCAAAATACGTCCGGCGACATCACTTCCAGTCAATCCGGAAGTAGTCAAAAATTGCATATTTTTGCTGTTCTTGACAGGTTTTTGGATATCATACGTCACTGGAAGCTTAAATCTTAATTTTCCGTCCGTCAACGTCACTTCCGGTCATACCGGAAATTGCCAAAAATGGCTTAATTTTGCAATAATTAACATAGATTTGGATGATTAAACCATTTTTGGACTTCATTACTCTTTTTTAAAATGAAAGTTACTTCCGGTGCAAAAACCTTAAAGAACTTCTCGTTGCTTTGCAACGAAGCTACGTGTGTGTTTTATTTACTATTTCAACAATCTTGGTCAAAATCAAAATCATCATACAAGAAAAACAAAGTATAGACTACTTAATACAAATTCTTATTCAAATTCATTGTCGGAAACCCCTGGGTGATCTCGTCTTTACTTACATGTATCATCCGTGGGTTTCCGACGATGATTCAAATTAGACCTAAAGGATTACCATTTTGATAAATTGTTTACAGAAGGACAGCTAGACAGACAGACAGATAGACTAAGGACACCTTGCTATCCCATAACTTCTTCTGATTTCTGACCAGTATAGAGCTACAGAAACAAGATGACAATAAACTGCAGTGTTAAAATGCGAAATGTAATAACAATGCAAAATGTAATCAACTGGGATTATTACGTTTTGCATTATTGAATTTTGCATTGACCTCGACGTAAAATATAATAAGGCAAAATGTAAGACTGCACTTAAATAAAATACATGTAATGGTGTAAATAATTTCCTAAATTAGAGGAAGATGATAGAGAATTCTTCATAATCACTTTTATCATCATCTGTTCAAAACATGAGCAAAATTATTATGGCACTTACGACAATATTAAATAAGTACACAAGAAAAATGTCACCTAGTACATTCCATACCACAACAAATGACTTTTAAAGAACTACAACAATGCATAAAACCCTAGAGAACTTCTGTTCTAATTCACAAGTATGTGTGTGTCTTAATTTTAGGGGAACAAACACAAAAATAGTTGATATTAAACAAATAATATATGGCTATAATTGTCAGAGCACCAGTTGAGTTTATGCAAATTCACTTTTCAAAATAACATATTGCAAACAAATAAAAATGATCAATGAGATGTTTATATTCATACTAAATAAAAAAATAAAGCCATTCTGCAGATCTTACAATTTTTATTCTTTTAATTAGATTTTGGTAGTCTCACAACTTACAATGTACTTTGTCATATGAGATATTATAAAAATGAAATCATGTCTATATACTGTAAATCATTTTTTTATTCGCAAGAACTTTATTTTCGCATAATTACGCAAGACAGTGTGCTCACGAAAATTTGATTCTCGCATATAATAGTATTCCTTAGGGGTATATAGAGCAAAAACCACAATTCGTGAAAATTTTGTCTTGCTAATCAAGAATCGATGCCTATCTAGCGAAAATAAGGTGTTGCGAAAATTTAGTGATCTAGAGTATCCCTTTCTTCTCAGTATAAATATTTACCCCCAAGTATTTTTATAGCCAAATCAGGTTAAGTGTACTCTGTCATAGATAAATGAAATCACACCAACATGTATATATATCTCACTGATATTTACCTTTTAGTAGTTTGGTTGTCTCATATGGCTCTGTGTACTCGGTCGAGCTACAGCGTGGAATTCCCTTCAGGTGTTCCATTCTTTTGTCTGGGGGCAGGGAATAGTCCCCTAGGCTCACCTGAAATATAGGTCAACTCAAAACTCAGTACAGTGGACCTTCAGGTTTCCGGATACTTGTCATATATAAATAAAATCCCACCAACAGTATATATTTTTGTTACATTATTTTGTCTTGTTTAAATGGTAATTCAGGTATCCGGACGCTTCACATATTCGGTCAAACTGACTGGGAACCAATAAGCGTCTGGATAAATGAGGCTCCACTGTACATTGCTTTACAAATTAACGGTAAAAAAATTATAGGTGAGGACCCAAGAGTTCAAATGAACCTGAAAATGTGTCAACTCAAAACTCAGGTTTTTGCTTTTAACAGTCAATTACTAGTACATGTACTCGGGTGAGAACCAAAAGAGTGCAAATGAACAAGACCCTTACCATATATTGATGACTAGAGTCAATCCATATCATATCCACTACATTCTGCAAGTCATAGTGATGCAACAAAAGTTTGACCTAACATTTCCCATCCCTTTATGGCATGTACAAAGCACACCACTACAAGATGTTAGAGGAATTCTACATTTATTGATGGGGATTTTGGGCAACAAAAATTTTATCAGACCCAAGAAACAAACTGACTATGGTTGCTTAGGTAGTTGATATAGCGCTGTTGAACAGCAAAAGAATAAAATATAACTTGTAGCTTAGTGCTTATAAACTGAGGACTGACGCAAAATGAGAAGGTTATAGCAGTCCAAGCTAGGTCTCTCTCATCTCAGTCAGTGGCCCAAATATAACATCATTTCTGGCTGAATCATAAGATACAATGAAAATATTATTTGATTTTATTGCCTATTTGAGTAGTTGTCTGGTCTTAGAGGCACACATTCAGTGAACAGAATTCTAAATTTAAAACTATATTAATTAAGCTGGAAACTTTTTACAAGTGCAGTAAAAAACATTATTTTGCTAATAAAATATATTACACAACTTTTGTTTTGTTAATATAATACATTTTTCATTCATTATGCTTTTCCAGCATTAATACCAATAAATGAAACAAGAAAATGCTGAAAGATGCAAAATATGACCCAAGGTTACCTTGTTAATGAATATTATCAGGACAATCATTTCACTTATTATGATATAATTCAGTAATCATATAATTTAATGTGCATGCATCAGTAAAACTTTATCAGATAATGTGATACATGTATGTATGAATTATCTAACACATATTATATTGTAAATCCACAATGCATTCAACACCTTTAACATGTTTAAAAAAATAAATGACAGCACATTAATTAAGTACCAAAATTTTACCAAAAGCTTACAAGTACCTGTGATCTTATAGGAAGAGCAATAGAAAAAGGTCTTCCAGCAGCCATGTTTGTTTTCCATGTGACTGATATCAAAACGGAGAAGGAAGAAGATGGTTCAACTTAACAAGGCCACCCAACTTATAAACTCGGTCCCAGTTCTTTATTTCCCTGTTTTTTTTTTTCTCTTGTTTTTTTTAATCACATGGTATTGTGACAAAGCAACAGTATCACCTTGTATAAGGCGAAAAAGTGTAATATAGAAAATCAGTGATGCAACAAAAGTAATTCTGTTTGTTACGCAATTCTCATTTTTCGGCTTTGATGTGTCTGTTACGCTTAGGAATGTCAAGTGGCCCCCTTCAAAAAAGATTCAACACTTGATGGTACAGACCAATTAAGCTTTTGAAGTTTTGAATACTTGATTTTTGGGGAAGACCTTTTAGTGTCAGCCCATTCATTGTCATTTGAGGTAATTCCCTGAAATAAATCTGCACATCTAATGGATTCTGCTGATTGGGAGAACAAAAAATAGGAACAAAGTAGAAACTGAAAGACTATTAAAATTCAGGAAAAATAGGACTTATTGGCTGTTCTGAATGTTTTCTGAAATTCCTATTTGAAATCTCTTAAGATCTTTGAATCTAAATCTATCCTTTTTTTTGTTTGTTTGTTGTTGTTGTTTTTTTATTCTACAACAAACAGATAGCTGAAATGCCCCAATAAATTCATGATATAATGAAATAGTAATTTGCTTTCTAAGAACTACAATGCAAGGGGGGAAATATTGTTTTCTATTATGAACATAAATTGAGGATCTTTTTCTGTGAGGATGGAGACAAGGGTTCTGTAGGCATTTGTGAATCAAGAGAGGGGTTGCGGGCAGACCCCCCCCTTTCCCGGAATTTGCCGAGTTATGAAATGTATATACTAATTCAAGTAAAAGTGAATGAAAACACCCTTTAGAAAGTAATAGGTATGAAAATGATTTAGAAGTCAAGAACCACCATCCTCCCCCTCCTCCCTTACTTTTGAATAGGAGTTTACATGTTTTTTCTTTTCTTTTTTTTGCTTGTCAAGAAAATTTTTGGGTTGAAATTTTTTTAATGGGGTGGATCCCACTGGAAAAAATTGCTTGATCCACATCTGCTCTAGGAATGCAAGAGATATGCTGTTCACTTATTTACATCCCCCATTTAACTTTTTGAAATTCACATATTCATCTTTCATACCATTACTTTTTGAATATATACAGAAATATTTTGTATATATTTCACCATGCGTTTAAAACTATTTTCTTACGATGTTTATATTCAAAAACAAAAATTCGTGAAAACATTTATAATAAAGAGTCAATGACTATCCAAAATAAGGTTTGAAAATTTAGTGATCTACAGTAAATAGTGGCTTTTAATAAACATTTTCCAATCATAAGAATGACAAATACAAGATGATGAGTGTTGGTGAAGATGAGATGGTAGAAATTTTTAATAATATGTTTTATATATCTTGGTAAAAATCTTTTTTTTTCTTTTTGTTCATGCAAGTACTGTAAACCAATTTTTATTCATGTACAAGAAATATCTGCTAGTTTCACAAACTCATTTAACTTGCGAATTTTAACGATTGTGAAGCAATTATTTTGCTTTGCATTTGTAAAGAATGTTTTTCCAGTCGCAGAAATTCATCGTTGTGGAATAATTTGAATCTGATGAATTGCGAATAAAAGATGACACAAATAATAATTGGTTTACAGTATAGGCCTATACAAGGCGAAACATAATGCTTACTTTATGGGAACATGTACATCTTGGCACAAAGCTTAATCCCACAATTTTTTTCCCTTTCATCGGTGATAGTACCAGATGCTTAGTAACAGGTGAAGTAAATAAAACAATAGTAGTAGAGGCAGACTCATTTATATCAAGATCACCAGCAAACTCGATGACATCACAGAGCTATTCTTAGGAAACAATTACTTATCTTACAAAAAATATCGGTAGAGTATATCTGTACTGTTGTATAAAAATAGCCTACACTATATGATTTTGTTTTTCTTAAAAGTATCTTGGTACAAATTGCCACAAACACTTGAATTAGAGTGTTTTTGGGAGAGGATGCAGCGATATATGATGTAACCCTTCACTAAAGCATGTTTGGCCGTCTTCCGACCCACTTTACAATATCAGCCCCGTGACGTAGTTACCATAATATCTGAAAAGTCATCTCAGTTCACACCATGTTTTCGACTGTAAATATCGTATGATTGTTTATCATATGACCATTACTAAAATATAAATGATCAATATACTAGCAGCTAAAAATATAAAGTTGGTAAACATTCAATTTACAGAGAGCACTGTTAATTTTTTTTAGTCATATTTAGTAAACATATGACTCACAAGTATCAAAGAAGTCTTCAAAAACAAACTGTACATGTACTTCTAAAAGTATATTATACGTAAGTTAGTAAAGCCTGGGTGACACACATTTATATGTTATGTGCCTTAGGGGTGGTGTACTTAGTTAACCTGGCAAGGTTAAATTTTAGTTGTTAAAGGAAGGAAACTATATAAATGCATGGTTAATATACAAACACTAAATTCTACAGTAGTGTGTCAGAATTAAAAGTACATGGGTATAGTTTAATTAGGACACCTTTGTTATCTAATGCTCACACAGAAATGCATTATATGTCCATGTTAAATAATTACTTGTCTTGTTTTATGACACAGGAAATTAATTTGTTCAAATACTGTACACAATAATTTATTCCATGACCAAATGAAAATATTTTTACACAGGTGCACTAACATAACATTGCTTTTCAGTCCATATGTACTATATTTTCATCATGTTTATTAGGACTACATGTACACGCATGCCCACCTATTTTTAAAACATTAATCCTTAATTTCCATCTAAACTGACTGTAATTTCCTGTGTCATTTTCTACTGATATTAAATGTTTGTTATCTATAAAATAAAAGGGAAGGAAATAAATAGGGAGGGAAATGAGCCGGTATACCTTGTCGCCAGGTAACCAGGAAAAGCACCCTTCACCATCTTGACTACTCTGTGTTAGGGGCCCCTCCCCCTCCGCCCCCACCTCATGCTCGGGGGAGGGGGGGTCAGACAGATCGTGTTTAGCGGGCTCTGCCTCGGCTTTATGGGGGACTGATGTTCGTGTGTCTTTGAAAGCAATTCTGTTTTGAGTGCGGCGTATAGGCCTTTTCTCGGATTTTAAGTCGTTGTCACTGATTGCTTTTTGCAGACTCGTGGGGAGATGGCTGAAAGGCTCCGAATAAACACGATCTTCTGCATCCAGCTGACTTCCTGTTAACATTACTCGCTTGATTCACACTACCCTACCTACTTACAAACTCGTCATCGTAATCCAGGAAGTGAAAATTTCCTTCCTTATGCACAGCAGTGAAATTTTGAAATGCAGCCATTGGCTGAAATTATAACTTTAGGCGCGAAATTTTAAATTACACAAATATGAACTCAGGAGGGTGTGTGTATATATATCGGTTAAGAGAAAAATCTTTAAGTTAAAATTTATGAAAATAAATTTAAGTTAAAAAATTTGAAAATTTGTAGCATGGATGAATTTTTTTAAAGGTCACATTAGACTAATCTACATAAACTGTGTTTCGAACTTTGGAGATCCATTTATAGCCAGGTCATTTTAACGATAGAACATCTAACTATATTTTAAGGGTAGGGGAGTCAGATTCGATCTAATTAAAGCGGTTCCCGAGGAGATCTGCTGGGAGTAGGGTGGGCAGGCGCGTAGCCAGGCGTACGTTTGTACTGTGACGCGCAAACGTCCACATCATTTTTGGAATAAAAGGAGCCGAGAGAGAGAGAGAGAGGGGACAGGCGTATGTCTCTTAAAGCATACATATCATTTTGCAATAAAATAAATGAAAAATGAAAAAAAAATACAATTTAGAATCACGAAAGAAAGAAATGAAAACGAACAGGATGATGAAATCAGTTTTAAAGGAAAGATGCGATGGCATATCAATTGAATATTGCTGCTTTTTTCCTGAAATAAAATACAATACATTCTAAATTTTTAAAATTTAACTTTCTAGGAATACATCTATATTGGATAGATCCTTTCTCATTTTTTGAGTGTTTTGTGCAAAAACGATGCAAAAGGCATATATTGTGTATCAAACATATAGCGTGAAGACTTGCGATCAAGACGGTCGATTTGATACATCGAAATCGTCGAACATTCACTAGCTTCATAACCACCATTAACCCAGCGGGGGCCTTAGTTTTAAATCCACATCAAAAGTACCCTGGCTTCGCCCCTGGTGGGTGAGCCAGAGAGGTTGTTCGAATGCAAAAGGCACTGCATACATTGTTTCCTTATTAACGACTTACGATTCGTGATTATCACAGAAAACAGTTTTTAATAACCTCGGCATTTTGTAAATATTATGATCGTTATAATGACCATGTTAGCAAATATAACCTATGAGTATCACAGTCCCTCGTATTTTGACTGACCTGTTTAGGCCTTTGTTTAAATCTTGAATTAACGGAAAGTTCCGTATACCTGTTCAATATATAGGGCTCAAGGTGGGTGAGACTTGTCAACAGGGAATGATTTCTCCTCCGAGGCACCTGATCCTATAGAATTTTACATTGGTCCGTGTTTTATGCCCTCTTAATTCATATACATATAGGCTATTTGTATCTAGGCGTCGGAAGCAAATTTAAAGTGGGGGGGGGGGGACCAAAAAAATGTAAACCCCAATTTTCAATGCATAATATTATGCATATCTTGGCATAGGTGTGTGTTTTATGCTCTCTTCACATATTTGTATTATTAATTGTTTATAGATCTTTTGAGATCTTCACCTTTCACATAGATCATTTGATCTAATGCATGTAAGAAGTATAAAATGCTTCAATACACATGAGAGGTATAAAATGGTTCACATATTTTTTTGTCCTGAGAGCTCTCTGTCTGTTTGTTGGTAAAAATATTTACATGAGAGAAATATAGAGACTTCATATTTGGAATGCATACTCCACTAATTAAGCTCTTTCAAATGATACCAAGATCAATGACCTTGTGACCTTGACTGTTACTTTATGCTAAAAATAGTTTTTTCGAACCTTCGCCATAACTTTTGAATCATGAAAGATAGGGACTTCATATTTAGAATGCACATTCCACTAATTAAGCTCTTTCAAATAACAAGTTTAATGACCATGTGACCTTGACTATGCCCTTTAAGCTAAAGAAACTTTTTTTTTGGAATATTAAGTGGATTCAAATGGCAAAGCTTTATAACGTAAAATATATTTTTAAAAAAAGTATAAAATGTAAATATTAGGGAAACCAGTATGTTTGACCCATGTGCACAATGCTAATCACTTTTAATTTAGTGTAGTACGTTATATATTATGATGCCCCCCGCCATTACAAACTTATTTTGACACCCTGAACCACCAAGAAGAAATAATTGCGTATAACATTTCTATTTACTGCGACAAAAACATTAATTGTTTCCCCAATGTCAAATATCATTCAGATAGAACAAAGAAAGCTCAGATATGACACTGAATGGTTTTTCTTTATCCCAATCTTTTCTTTTTCTTTTGATGTAAAAGAAATGAAAGAACGCACGTGATATCTCGAGTTTGTTAATGATACATAAAAAAAAACAGCAATATTAAAATCTTTTATGTTTCTGTTGACATAACAATATTTCCCTCTCTTGACTGGTTTCTTTGAAAATAGTTTACAATGTACAAACTAATGAAACATGTTCGTAGTACAGAAGAATTTTAGGTCGTTACATGAAGAAATTAATGAAATGAAAATGATGAGATGTCAGGAGCACAAAGCTTTAAATAAGTGTAATGATAAGCTTAATAAAAAAAAATGCAGACTGAGAAATTGATAGCCTAAGGACACTACAGACCTTGCTAGCTTAATGCAGTTAGAGTAATCTGCCCTTTGATGTAAAATGACATGATTGAAACTCGATCAATAGTCAATGACACCAACTAAATTGTTCATATCTATATTATATTGGACAGAGACTAAGAAATTGAAAAAGAAATTGCACATATTTTCCCAAACTAAGTGAACAACAGTGAATTGAATTCACTAATAAACATTTTTCTTAAAGATACATGACATGGCAAAAATATTGAAATTAAACGGTATACAATGTATATCGACTTTACAGAAAAAAACCCATGATATATTTTGTTTTTATTTAAAGCTTTTATTTTTCCAAGATAATCGTGTATAAGGACAATTAAACTTACATACAAACTACAAAAAATGTGGAGATATGAGTAGTCCATGGGACAAAATGACGAATTCTAACTTTGTTATTGTGCATTTATAAATTTTAAATCAAAATGGGTCAATTATTACAAGTAAAATCAGGAGAAATTGGGGTCCAACAATATTTCAACGAAGACGCTAATAATGTAAGAAAAATCAATATCTAATGTTCCGAATACTCTGCCTTTCAGGCACGTAGCAACAAACAGGACCCCCCCCCCCACTTTTTCTCCCAACATAACTTTTACTATTGAAAATGTTCGGTGAAAGGCTGGTCCCCCCCCTCACTTTGTGCTACAGTAAATTGAAATTAGGGTTATGTACCTTAATATGCAAAACAATTGGTATGGAAATAAGTTGGTATTGAAAAAATTTGGCCTCTTGGAATCAGTAAAAAAGGATTAACTCCCAACGATGTGACTTGAGAACCACTGCGTTTCAAAAGGCCCTTAAAAAGGCAGTTTGCCAGTCCAGGTACTGAAAACCTTTAGTGCATTTGAACAACTTAAACGGGTATCAAACCTCTGTTACGATATTTTAATTTTTGAAGTAACTGAATTTTAGACTGCGTGCATTTTCATAGTATCCGTAAGAAAATAAATTCATTTACCTACTAGTATCAACCTACTCAAACTTAAAATCGGGTAAGGTTAGGGGAAAAGAAGAATGATGGTCATGCCTGTATTATTCTTTAGCATGAAATACTGGGTATGTGTAGATAACGAACTGTACTCAAGCTAAAAAGTCCATTAAAAAAACATTTTGGAGAAAGACAAAAAAACCCTCTAAAATCAGATTAGGGATCAGGTGCTATGGGGGAGCATGGGCGTCGGAAGCAAATTGAAAGGAGGGGGGGGGGGGCTAAACCAACAAAAAAAGGTAAATCCCAATTTTCAATGTCTATTTTTGCAAAAAAAAAAAAGTGGGGGGTGGGGCTAAGCCCCCCTAGCCCTTCCGATTCGGACGCCTATGAGGAGTGAGCATCTCCTGCCGACCGATCACACCTGCCGTGTGCTTTCTGTCATGATCGGGAAATAACAGAAAAATCCGTCAACAATAATATTCAGTTTGTAAATAAGGGCCTGACATTAAGTATGAAAAACGCCAGTCTGCCATTTTTAAGCATAGCAATAAATACGAGCAACAGTCACTGAAGAAAGCTGGAGTATGCCTACCTCGTCCGACTGCATGTCGGCAACCTGAATTTTGCCGAGCCGGAATTGCCGACTGTCGGCAGACCACTGCATACTTCTCTCTCTTCGTGTTTGCATCTTCCTAGGGAAGTATCTAGTATACAGTGGGCTGCTGGCAGCAGTTCGTCCTAGGAATACGCTGTGGATGTACTTAGGAGCAGTAAGATGAACAACGGTGCATCTTTGTTTGTACTTTTTCAGTTTTTGTCGGAAGTGATATCCAACATAGACAGGAAAGGTTTCCGCACGAAAAGGCAGTTTTCCTCGCTGTCAGTGCAACTTCTTTTTTTTTCTTTTCACCTCGATCTCATAGTTTTACAGTAAAATTACATAACGCAACGCTTCTGCGTTAGCAAACGTGTTGAAAAATCATCAGTATCGAAGAAATCGATGGAAGGGGAAGGGGTTAACTCCAGTGAATCATCTTTTTTAACCTCCGACGATGAAATCCATGACTTTGTAAGAAATAAACATCCTTAAATGTACGCATTTAAAAAGTGTTAGACAGCAAAGTCTATTAAGAGGGTCATCCGGGGGAAGTTAACTCTCAATATCAATCTCTCCATTCAATTAACAACACCAGGAGGAAGTGGAGAGGGGGGCAACGCCCACTTTAACTGGCGTCTTCAGACTTCATGCCACTCTGTGTAGTGGTAAACACGGAGCTGCCGACAGAACGAGGGGCTGGGAGGTAACTCATTGTCGTGATTCAGTGAAAAATTCACATTAAGCAACTCAGAAGGCAAAGCACGTTCATTAATTTATATGTCACATAGGATGACGACAAATATTGTGTACATGCATTTATCATGTAATGGGAGAACTATCGTGTTAAATAGTGTATACTACAAAGTATTTGTTTCAGGGCCCTCACTTCCTGGACGCGGGGTGAACGTTATGTACATCTCTCCATGGGGGTGGGGCACAGCAGGGAGTAGGGTCCCTCAATCATTTGACCAGTGATTACATTAAGAAATAATATACAGATAAAGACATGACTTTATTGCACATATATAAAATACGTCTGGGTTATCACTTTATACATCATGACCAAAGGTTGATCATCTTGCAAAGGACTAAAGTGTACAGTAACAAATAGGGTATTACTTACATACTGGTAAACAAATCAAAATCTTGATACGTCTTTCAGTATGATAATTAACAATATTTAATGTTTAACGTGGAAAGGAAGAAAATAGCACAAAGCATCCCAATATAAGAAGCTTAAAAGCAAATATTACTATTATCATATTAATAGAACACGTATTACTACAATCGCCAATACTAAAATAATAAATTCTTCAGGAACTTTAATAAAATAAGGAAGATTGATACTGGTAACTAAATTCTGATCAAATTTCGTTCAATAATTTCTTATACATTAAAGAAACTGTATTATTTTTTAATGTTCAAGTTTAATACAATAATTTATCAGACATCATTTAGTCGGGATGAGACTCCGGTAGTGTGTTGGACAGGAGTTGTCGTTCTTCCTCTGTAAGTTCCGTCACGGGGTACTCGTACAGGTGCTCAACAAACTGCTGGCTCCTCCTGGCGGACTTCACCGACTGGATCCGTCTCCTCTGAATCCGCGACAGACGGTTCTCCTCACTCATACAGTCAAACCACTCCCACATGTGCGGATCCAACTGACTGAAGGAAGAAACGAAAAAATGGAGAGAGTTTATTCTACATGTATATTGTAAGCATTCAGCTAAACTTCATAAACTATTTTGCTCGTTTTATGCCTTATAAGTCAAATATTTATTTATTACCTGGCTAGACAGGTATACAAAGGTTCTAATGACATCACAGATGTAGCACACAGATGTAACATCGATTTTGACAAAGGTCGCTTTGCCCAGTAATTCACATCATCATTCATTTTTTTCTGAAACCATGAATAAGATATACATGACTGAAGATTCAAAATTCATCTCTAAACAAAATAAAATTTTGCTTATATGCTAATTACTCAAGCCCTAGAGGGGCTTGAGTTATCTAAAACGATGCTAGGTCATCGATTTACTCAGTTAAAATACATGAAAAAATATTATTTTTATAGATAAAAATATCTCTAGAAACAAAAATGAAGCTTATCTTGAAAAAGTCTGTATATTCAAAGATATTAAGCTTTAAATGTCGGATTCTTTTCTATGGCGAATGAACCATGAGTAAAGCTCCGCAGCCGCAACAGTTTCTATACAGAGATTTCGCGCTTTCCTTTGCGTAGGAATCTCAGGTAACTTTCACAGACGCTGACAAAGCATCTTTGGACGAGTCCACTGTTTACTCTGAAAGGTGACACAGGGCACACCATCGTTAACAAATTCTACTATGCATGGCCAGAAAATGTATGGTTGTAACCCCATATTGAAATTGCTTTCTACGGGCCTGAGAATGAAGTGCATGAGCACTTTGAGTGACAGTAAAATAATATAGCACATTAATGTTAAATTCTCCCTCGTACGTTTTTTTTAAATTTCAAAATATCGCACTAGTTATCTTTAGCTTTGGTAACGAAACCTATATACATGTAACTTCTTTTGGATTCGTAAGGAATATTTATTAGACATGCTGCACAGATGAACCCGCGATCGTGAACGTGGATTTTTTGGAGCCGAACCTACTCGGGCGCCCCCCCCCCCCCCCCAATCCACTTTGAAAAACGTTTCTACCTGTAAGCTTGTAACAATCTATTTGGATCGATGTATATTAAATTGTGATCGATGTACTTCATTAAGCAGAAATAAAAAAAAGTATATATATAGTTTGAAGTATATCGCCATAAAAAATATTTCAATAAATTAAGAAACGGCTAGTATGCTTTATAAAATATTCCTGAAAGTGAGTAACGTAAATTCATCTTAAAAAGTAATACGATTAATTATATTTATTCTCATTAAATTCAATATAAGAATTTTTTTATGTACATGTATTTTATTCAACAGAAGATTAAACTCAATAGCCCTCATCTTATACCATTTTAGGATATTAATGACACTTCCTAGTTGACTTTCTACAGCTTGAGTATCTCTGACGTTTTGTCAGTATATACTTGTTTTTTTCTGAATAAATCTAAAAACATAATTGAAATGGTAATTTCAGCAAGCATTGTTTAAAAAAAATTGGTCCAGAAGTTACTAGTACCTCTTTTTCTAAGTTAAAATAGTCAATAATGCCATTGAGAGTTTCCTCTCTAACAAGGTGGTTTAGGAACCTGAAATAATTACATTTGAGTGTTGATTTGATTTGATTACAGAGTACAAAAGAGTTAACTTCACCTGTTCATGGGAATCTGAAGCCGGTAGGTTGATCTGAAACTTTTTACAAAGCTGATCTAGAGTTATCTTTCTTGGCGGAAATCCTTTTTGTTCCAGAAGAACGGAGTAGCCGACCTAAACAATCGTATTTTGATATCATTTCATAATATACTTTTTGCTCAACATGAATTCCATTTACAATTTAATAATTCTAAATCTAACCTGAGTGTCAAAATAATGGCGTATTTTTATGCCGTATGGATGAAGAAATTTGCTGGCAATGCTTACGTCATGAAACACCTTCAATTAGGAAAAAACATAATGAAGGACAAAAAAAACCCCCATGCATGACGCATTACTGTTGTGAATAAAAAAAGTAAAAATATTAAAAGCAGACAATTTACTGGTACCTTTACTAGTTCTACAGACTGAAACAGCCGTATGAGACCACCATCCAATACGATGTTTGGACAAGATTTCACATCGAACACGAACACATCTCCGGAAGGAATACAAGTAGTCACAGACGTTAATACATCTATAAAAGGTTTAGACAGAAAATAAATCAACATGAATAATTCTGATCATTAAATTCAATTCTGATTTTTATTTGCTTTTTCGTAGAATGAAGGTCACAAAAGAACAACCTGTACTAGAATTTTGATTTTAGAAGATGAGGAAATCAAAGCTTATGATATAATAAATACATTCAACTTCAAAAGGCGTATTTCTGTATAGACAACTGGTATTTATATATAAAAAAATAAAATGATATAAAATATTTCAGATCCCAAATTCTTTTTCTACTAAATTGTTAGATATCTTACTTATATGCCTTGTTCCCTGACAGGAGACAGCTACTACAGGTTCACACAGTAATCGCCTCACCACCGATTCAGCCCCAGCAACAGTTGACACTACGTTGATCCCAGGCATATTGGATAGGCCAAGAGTAATGAAAAACTACCTGCTTGACATAACCCTGAAATATTTAGTTCTTGATTGTAAAACCTATATTAAAAAAAAACAGGTAGAGGAAGACAGAAGAAAATAAGCAGGGTGTTGCATTGTCATTAATTTTTTCGAAGTCACTTTAAAAAAAAGAAAGGTTTTGGGGTCTCACAAAAGTATATAACGTTAACATCACATTTAGGTGGAGGGTTCGGGGTTGGGGTGGTATTTTCCAATAACCTCAGTGTCCTCTATACAGATGACAAGAATAACATTCCATAACACTTGTAAATACTCTCATGAATGCACATGTACATGTATAAATTAACATACATGGTTTTTATTTTCCAATAAAATGCAGATTCCCAGCACGATTCTTGTATTGAATGCTTTTTTATACACAAGTATACAGGAAAGCCCCTGTGAACTTCATTTCTTTAAATTAACATTTCATATAAAATTGATAAAAATAGTGACAATTAAAAAAATGTAATCAAACAAAAATGAAATGTAATATTTTGGAGTGAACAAATATTAATTTACCTGTTAAGGCGCAAAATCAGGTAGAATTTAGAAATTGGTCTGAACTCCTGGGGATAACACGACAGACACTTACCTTGTTAAAAAGAGAGCTAGTTAAATGTCCGGTATAATCCTTTAACTTAGTTTTGATCATTCACAATCGATCTTACATAACTCTGGTTAATGCTTTCAAGATTAAGGTAGAAAATACATCTGATATCTAGGCCTACCTGGTCTTATGCAACAGTCCTGTGTAACTAGGGAAGCCGTCCGCCGAGGTCCTTACGTGATGAATTATTAATAAACACAACACCTTCTAATCGAGGTTCATTTATTGCAGAAATATCGATAAAAAATTTTCTCAGTGAAAGCACAATATTGACAATTAAACCCGAACCCGCTGTTTAAAGTTTAAGCACAAAAAAATGTTGATGACTTCCAAATACACTGTAGATGTCATTAAATTTAAATGGTCGGAAGAAAAGACTGGACGGTTATAATCTATTCAGGTATAATTTGTTTAGAAAATTTCACTGGGAAAGCGTAACGTATGAATGTATAATTACGGGTTCAATCCACAGTCCTTGGGTCTAAAGTACATGTATATTCAAAAGCAAACACTATTTGAATCAGTTGTTGAAATTTTCTATAGATCAGGTTGGAAGAAAATTTAAACCACTTTTAAAATTTTATTGACAGTATTGTCAAAATAGAAGTAAAACCTATACAAGTCGAAACTATATAATAACAGTTATGACCTATCTTAAAAAATGTTTAATTTTTCAAAAGTAGATCAAACCTCAAAATCAAGGGGTCAAACATCAGAGTGTAAATAGAGATGTCTTGTCATAGGCAATACAAAGATTTAATATGATAGCTGTATCTCCTCTCAAACAAAAGTCATGACCAAAGTTCAAGTTTTTGGAAAGTAGGTCAAACTTCAAGGTCAAGGTCACGAGGTCAAATATCAATGAAAGTGTATTTAGAAAGGTCATAGGTAATAAACAGGTTTAATATGAAAACTTTATCTCTTCTCATTCTAAAGTTATGGTCCAGGTTAAAGTTTTAGTGAAGGACGGACAGAACTATACATAATGACAGACGAATGAGATTTACATGTAATGTCCCCTCATTTGCGCGAAAACGAGGGACAATGAAATTTTTTTCATGAAAAAACAGCATTTCTCCCTAAACGTAGAAAATGATTGTTTAGTTTATAGAAGGAGTTAGATTCCTTGTAATCGTTGACCGCTTTCAATTACATACACTGTATATCCATATAAATATCTATCATTTATCATTCTGACACTCAAACACTATTTTTAAATATACAAGGCGAAATATCATTGGATGTGTTTGTTGTGCAATTTATTTAATCCAAGCAGACAATCTTTATTTGTATTTGTCCTCATATTGCCGACAGTTCACTCTGTATCCAGGGGAGATAAGCGGTGATTTTCGTGAACACGTTTGGTTTACCCAACTCAGAGCAAGTTGATGATCCCCATGACGTCACGCCCACCAGTACAAACGTATCATGACGCAGACACACCAATGGTCCCCCAGAATCTCCCTAAAATTTATAGCAAATATTAAAATTAATCACGCAAAAGTTTACGAACTGTACCTCTACTGCTTTAACAGCAAATCAAACGGCAGAGTTATCGCCCCTCCAAAAAATAAGTGGTAAAATTGAACAGAATATGATTGAGGTTATAAAAAATCCACCAAACTTGTCTTTCGGCATACTTTTATAAATAAAAGCAGACGTTCGATGACAGACAGAAAAATCTTTACCATTACCGAAAAAGTTGAGATAAACAACATGATGCAAAATATATACAGATGGATCTCATCGTCGGATACCCATGGATGATCTCGTATTTTTCTGATCACATGATAAGTAAAAGACGCGATCAACCGTGGTTAATCAACGGATGGATAGATGTATACTCTTTCCTTTAACTTTCTCTTTGTTTTTCTATTACCCGGCATGCCCCCGTGTCCCCAGTTCCTATACAGAGCTGTTTGTCGGTGATGACTCCGTCCCAGCTGGAGTTACACGTCATAGAAGAGGTTATCGGAATGCGTAGATGTCGTAGTACAACATTGTCACCAGTTCCTTCAACATATATTCAACATATATTCATTAAATACAATATATAGCATCCATTATATAATTATAGCATCCATTATATAATAAATCTTTCTTTCTTGAACAAATGATCTCAAGGCGACATAAAAAATAATCAATTCACCATTTAGGACCGCTACTAAAATTTAACTTGACCTTGAGAAACGTCACTCAACCACTGATGTAACAATGGCTTTTAAAAGATAAAGCAAGTACGTCATAAGTTTCTGTGCAGGCAGGCCGTTCAAAATAATTTAATATTTCAGCAATCTAAATATTGTTTGATAAAGGTCTGTAGCAACGGCTTTTAAAGTGTGTGTGTGTTGGGGAGGGGGGGGGCTGAAAGTTACAAAAAAATAACAAATCTGCGTATACAGAACACGCTACTTGATCATCACATCTCCATTTTTCCCATGACAAATTATCTTTATGTGAAATGTACGTCACATAATTGTACTTTTATGGTTTTGTTTTTCCTTTTTATTCTTTCATTTTCCAAATTGAAAAGAAAGCCAAAAATTATCTAAATAAAAACAAGTATATACTGACAAAACGTCAGAGATACTCGCGCTTTTTCATTGGCTAATTAGTCAGCCTGCGGAGTTACTCATTAATAAATCTTGACAATTATAAGTGATCAGCTATTAGAAAATTTAGCAGCTGCTGATTGGAATAAAAACATGTACATAAAAAAATTGTTATATTGAAAAACTTTAATGAGAATAAATATAATTCACAATTGTTTTTAAGATGAATTTAGTTATGACTTTCAGGAATATTTTATAAAGCAAACACCGTTTCTTAATTTATTGAAATATTTTTTATGGCGAATACTTCAAACTATATACTGTAAACCAACTTTTATTCGCAGTCCTTTTTTAAAGGACAGAAATTTTCCGGGTTGCCCCCGAGTCCTTGTCATCGCGAGCTATTTCTCGCCGTTATGACTCCTCCCAGTTTTTTTTTACAAAAATAGTCAAAAAAGACGTTATCGGAAAATTAATCGTCGTAGTACAACATTGTCACCAGTTCCTTCAACATGTATTCATTAAATAAATATATAGCATTTATATATATATCTTTCTTTTTGAACAAATTCTGGCGACATAAAAAAAATAATCAATTCACAATTTAATATAAAATTTGATTCCTGACCTAGATTGTTACCCCAGCTTACTGATGTAACAATGATCGTTTTTCAAAGTGGATTGGGGGGGGGGGGGGGGGGGGGGGGTCTGACGTAATGTCCGGTCAAAAAATCCACGTTGTGCGAGCTGGGTTCATCTGTGCAGCATGTCTATATATTCCTTACGAAGGCCAAAAGAAGTTACATGTATATAGGTTTCGTTACCAAAGTTAAAGAAAATACCCGGTATTTTGAAATTTAATAAAAAGGTCTAATGACATTATCTTTATGTGAAATGTACGTCACATAATTGTACTTTTATGGTTTTGTTTTTCCTTTTTATTCTTTCATTTTCAAATTGAAAGGAAAGCCAAAAATTATCTATATAAAAAACAATTGGAATATACAACAATTCTTACAATGAACTTTGTTAACGATGGTGTGCCCTGTGTCACCTTTCAGATAAACAGTGTTCGCCAAAGATGCTTTGTCAGCGTCTGTCAAAAAATTCAGTTTAAAACAAATAACTTGTCAATAAAAAAAACCTTTGGTTATCAGAAATATATATTGCTAGTAACCATTTCGAAATTTAAAGGTAAAATCTATATTCTATATACAGTTGCACTTCAAGAACACCTTCATTTTTGCTTACCCGTAGAGACATTTTTATCTATAAAAATAATATTTTTTCATGTATTTTAACTGAGTAAATCGAAATGACCGCGGTCATTCTGAAGACTGACCTGCCAAGGCCACTCGCCGTCCAAAGCTTGATCACCGCCCACCACTCTAAGGCGCGGATCTACATGGCGTGTCTGTACCCGTGTTATTAGTCCGCACTTGTCCGTGCCTTAAAACAAATAGATAGGTATCAAAAACAATTAAATACAGTAACTTGTCAATACCAACTTTAAAAATTTGGTCATTAAAAATATACACGTAGTATATTGCATAACTGTAACCGCATTGAAAATTTATTATCATTTTTCCATTATATATATATTATTATAACACTAACTGGCTTACCCGTAGAGACAGTGAGCGGCGGTAACAACCGCGGATCATCAGATCTAACGAGACGCGAAATGACCGCGATCATTCTGATGATCCGCCTGCCAAGGCCATCACGGCTCTTCGGATCAAGTTACTGATATAATGATAAATTTATTATATACCCCCTCATAACTAGCTAAATGTAGCAGAATAAAACTTTAGAGATCAATTGTTATAATATTTATTCATAAAACAAAGCATAATAACAAGGTACTTTTTAACGCGCAAAAAAATAACGTAATGTTTTTGCGTACTACGTCATCAGTTTAAGAGAGTGGTGATATGGACTTCATAAATATACACAGTGTGGTGATCCGGAAAATCATTAAACTCTGTAAAATTAACAGTAACAAAAACAAGGAAATTGATGGGTATATAATAAAATGCCATTCCAATCTGATTTTAATCAGACTGATGCAATTTGTGGTTACATCTTGCGCATTAAGTGATAAAAGGTAACCTGGATGTGCTGGCTCAGGATTGACAGTAGATGGCGCTGGTTTGCAGCAGACATTCTTTCTACATCCTAAAGCATAATGGTCTACATAACCATCACAACGTATATTTGACCGAATGCACGATCCGCCTCTTGTCGTGCACGTGTCGACTCTTGCTTGGGGCTTTCCTAAATACCAAAGATTCCAGTCTAACATCGCTATGTACACCAAATTTTAAAAATCAAACGTTGAACTCAAAAATTGAACCTTACCGACAATGGGTCCCACATTCATAAATGCTAGAACGAAAAGGAAAGACCGAATCATAGTGTTAGAATTCAGTTGAATCACCGAAATACCGGAACTCAAATCTGTCTAAATCTCCAGATTCTCCTTAAAATGAAAATGTCCTTGTCATCAGAGAAATGGCTAAATATTACTGGAGACATCTTTCTGCAGGAGTGCTGTAGTTATCAACAATTCCGCGAAAACAATATGATACCCTTGTTAAACAAACCATCATGACTGTTTATCCTTTTTCCATACCTGTTGGAATTTTCCTGACCCCCGAGTACTTAAATTTGTTGTGGCAAACAAATTCATTGTTATGATACAAGTATACCGTTCATTTACTAGTATATTGACACCAGATTCTTTTACACTAATTGAAATGTCAATTCCTCATTTAATGGAGTATACATTATCAAAATGTAAAGCTTTAGGCCTACTGGACAAAAAAGTTAAAGATCATCAAATTAAATATGTTTTTCATAGACTTTATCAAAGAAAAGGGAATGCTGCTTTAATTTCAGTATCATATTTTATAGTTTGAAAATTAAACATTGGATGTGATAAATTTCTTTGAATACACGCTATTAATTGTTCATTACGGTAACTCTAAAAAAAAAAATCGCCATGTTGGATGTAGACCTGAGGCCTGTTCAGCTGAGCGTACGTTCGCGAAATTACTATTGGAGGTATAAGGAATTTTGGCGAGCGCTCGCAAACGTTCGCTCTGCTGAACAGGCCTCTGATAAAAAGAAATTTGTTCAGAAGAGTCAATTGATGTCGGTTTTTATTTTAATAATTGCCAGCATTTTGTACGACATTCCTGCGAGGCAATAACGGCCCTACAGTGCCACCCATGCTTCCAATCAGTCGTGCAAGGCTAGCCTGCGGAATGTTGCAATTCCTCCTACAAAGCTGTCGGAAGCTCCTAACGAATTTTAGGAAGTTTTAAACCAGCTGAAATGCAGTGCTAAAGAATGTCCCATGCGTGTTCTATTTGGTTCAAGGTGTACGGTAGTCCATCAGGACTGTTATTTGGCCAATGTTGCTATGTGGAATTGATTTTAATTTAGCCTTCTTTGACAATTTACTGCCTGTAAATATCGATTCCATAAACTTTGGGAAACATGTGGTCTTTTTTCAACGTGATGTTGCGTTTTGCCAGCTTCTATCATCCCTGCTGTCCTGGAGCTTTCATTCATATTCATTTGCTTCCTCATAGCGTCTTGTCATCAGTTCTGGCCAGAAATACTAACATTGTTTTGCATTCACAGAGGAAAACCCTCTTTGATACTTCTATGGTCTAATTGTTCCATTTACTTATTTAACGCAACATATTTTCGTAAGGAAAATGCCGCAAAACTCACCAAATACGTGTTTTCAAAAGAATCATGTTTATGTTTCTTCAGTTTTTATGGTGGCTAACCCCCCTCTCCATATATGCAAATTTTCCACAGACAAGGGAATGCAATCATGCAACAAGCATTCTGAAAAAGCTTGCATTAGAATACTAAATTGTCACTTTTGATTATCGGCATTGTGCTTGACCCACTGTATTATATGTTTATATGCTTTATATGATTTTGTACCTCATGTACCATTTACAAGGTTTTGAGTGAATAAATTGAATTGAAATGAAAAGCTACAGAGTTATGGCATAAATTTAAACATGCAGTCCCCTGTTTATAACGAGTTAAAATACACCAAATATCTGACAGATAGACATTGTACAGGTGAGCAGGTAAGTGGGCGTGTGATCCAATATATTGATTGGAATATTATTTGGCCGACAAGACAGGCGCCATTTAAGTCAGGTAATAATTATGGAATGTTTTCATTTGATAAAACTATTTAAAATAATATAATAAAATGTGGAAACATTTTTGACAAGATTGTTTTGAGGTTAATTGAAGACCTGGGTATAGACTGATACATTCATGTAATTTTGTACGCCTTTTAATATCATGTTTTGAATGTCATGGATATACAATTAAGGCAGCTACGCTATTTAAAAGAAATTGTCATTAGACTTATCATTTGTCAAACAATTAATCTAGAATCTGCCAATTTAGTTTACTATTTTCATTCTACTGGACTTTAGCAGGTATGCATTCATCTGACTTGATTGTAATGATTAGTGAGACTCATTCATCAAACTGATGTGTCACAAATATATTAGAATTAAAATAATGTCATCTAATTATAGGTCTAGTCTGATCATGGACCCCCGTACCAGTGCCCAGGACGTGATGCGATGTGACCTGTGTGAGACCGCTGTGGTACAGATGCATTGTGATACATGTCTTGTCAACCTGTGTAGGGCCTGTGTGGGAGAACACATGGTATCTGATGAATCTAAGAAACATGAAGTTGTTAGATTTACTCTTAGAAAATCGACCCCCCTCTACCCTGGGTGTAAAATTCATGATAAACAACAATGTACAATGTACTGTAATCAATGTGACATTCCTGTGTGTGACACCTGCCTTGCTTCTGATCAACATCTGGGTCATAAATTATTGAAAATATTACAAGTTCTTAATGAGAAAAAGGAAAAGATTATCAAAGAAAACATTGAACTAAATCAAATAATTTATCCAACCTACCAGGACATTGCCTCTGATGTACAAAACAGAATGAGTCAGTTGGAAAAGGAATATGGAGATCTCTCAACTGCCATAACACAACATGGAGAGAGCTGGCACAGAGAAATTGACAAAATTGTTCAGAAACTAAAAGCAGAAGTTGATGAGATGAAAAACTCACAGTTACAAACTCTACAGAAACATCTGGATGAAATTAAGAAAAGAATTTCTGAAATCAAAAATGAAATCAGTTCATTTGAGGTTGATGTAGATTATAATGACATTTCAAAGCTACTCAGGGTAACATCTAATATAGACAGACACAGAAAACTTCCAGAAAAGATTGTGCACTCCTTACCTACATTTTCTCAAGGAAGAATTCAAAAACTTTGTAAAATATTCGGAACATTAATATCATCAAGTTTTTCAACTTCAGAAAAAACTGGCTACAGCATGAAGACAACACAACAATCACCAGAAGCTGGATCCTCTCCTCCAGTCAAACAGCTGCTTGATGAACCAGAGATCGTCAGCACCATAGACACTGGGTTTGGATACCTTTACAATGTGGTCTGTCAGAATGATGAAGAGATATGGACAACAAGACATAACAGTACCATGAAACTCTTCAGCATCAGTCAGGGATCACTACTCAAGTCAATCACAACCAAGTCAGAGAACATGCCAGATGACATAACTGTGACAATTAGTGGAGATCTAGTTTATACTGATTACTGGGATAAAACTGTGAACATAATGAGGAAAGAGAAGATAGAGGAGGTGATCAGACTACAGAACTGGAGACCTAGCGGTGTCTGTAGTACCTCCTCTGGTGACCTCCTGGTTATCATGGAAAGTGATGATAACAAACAAACAAAAGTTGTCCGTTACTCTGGCTCCACAGAGAAACAAACCATTCAGTTTAATGAACAAGGTTATACTCTCTATTCAGCTGGTACTTGTTACAGAAACATAACTGAGAACAGGAACCTGGATATTTGTGTGTCAGACAATCGAGCTAAAGCAGTAGTGGTGGTCAATCAGGCCGGGAAACTGAGATTCAGGTACTACGAACATGCCCATACCCCAAAGAACAAAAGACTCAGTCCACTAGGAATCACCACAGACAGTCAGAGTCACATCCTTACAGTTGATTCTAACAATGACTGTGTCCACATCATAGACCAAGATGGACAATTCCTCCGTTACATAGACTGTGGACTGAGTAGACCCTGGGGACTGTGTACGGATACAAATGACAATTTGTTTGTTTCTCAAAATTATTTGAACCAAGTGAAGAAAATCAAATATCTGCAGTGAAACCATAATCAAAATAATCCAGGCCTCAGGATCATGAAAAAGACGTTGACTTAAGTCAAATTTTCAATTGTCTGTAAAAGAAATTAATTAAAAAGTCTTAAAATAAAGCTTGAAAATGAAATCTTTTCAGGCAATACTTCTTTTACTTTATGCCTCTCAAATGAATGTAATTCAAGGTTCTTTTAAGTTTTTGGAAAGAATATTAAAGAAGTTGATATTTGATCCTCATAAAAGTAAGTAAAAACTGAGGTATCGTGTGCAATAAGCTCACTAAATGATGCTCCCGCATCCCATATGTTATAATGGCAAAATCTATGTTTTGCACTGGGAATTTAGAAATATGTGTAAGGTCATATAGTAAAATAGAAAGATATTGCCATTGTGACCTCCTATTTTACTTTTTGATCCGACACATATTTCGGGTTTCCCTTAGCAAAACATGGACATTGCCATTATATTCATATTTTTGTCTTATTTTTGTATTTTAGAGTTACTTCCCTTAGCTCGTCCGAGTCGTTTTCATGTATAAGCAAAACATGCATTTTGCCATAATAATCATTTAGGAGGCGAAGGTATCATTTAATGAGCTCGCTCACAGTATTTCTACATATTCTAGTTGATACAAAATTTTGTAACGTGTCCTTCATCAAGCAAATGAGTTAAACAAATGATTATGTAAATAAGAGATAGATCACTAATTTGATAAATGCTTTGAAATGATAAATGACCAAGAAATATGATAACAAACGATCGAGTCAGTATATATGAAGATAATACAAAAATTTCCTATCCTAAAAATAAAAAGCAATAATTAATCTTTTAATAATTATTGGTATGGGTCTCGGTCTGTATTCTGCATGTGTAAGTACCAAGGCAGTTACCTATCTGAAATTCCGGATGGGTCTTGTACTGAGACAGGACCCATTTTTCTACAAAAACACATCGACCATTACTAAAAAAAAACTGTACATGGCCTAGATACAGAGCATCTGAAACATAATCCTCCATCGTGTTCATGTTCCTCTTCACCCTATAGCTATAGTCCTGCTTGACACGTTATAACAGATGATGTAAATATAGTTAAAGCCATATATGGCGTATGTACAATGAAAATTATTAGACTAAAATTATAAGAACTTTTTTTTTTTTTTTTTTTTCCCAATCTTTATTTTCAATTACAACTGAACTTGGGATAATATATCCTCAGATACTCCCGATTAATCCTCACTTATGGTGCCAGGGGCCCATTGGATTGGATAAATTATATCTTATATGTAGATATGAATATGTAATATAAATAAATATATATAAATATATAGACATAGAAATTATATATATATGATATGAATCGGAAAGATGAACTACCTTATAAATATAAAAATATGCAAATATTTGTTTTTACAACTAATAATAATAAATAAATAGATAAATAATTGAATAATAACAATTAAGTCTCGCTGCCATGGGGAACATCTTCCACCTCACAGAGTCCATAATAATTACCCCCACATGGCAGCACTACTGAAGGACAGACCCCTTCAGATAGTCAGACTATAATTATCACAAAGTTATCGAAATATCATAGAACCATTTATATGTAAAGTTTACATTTTTTTACAATTTTTTATAAATCTCATATTGATACATAAGGTTTGCCTTTACATAATACAAGATATCATTTATATTTTCTTCTCTGTTTTCATATCTTAGCTTCATTTTAATCTTATATATAAAGAAAGCTATGTATGATAATAAATAATTCAATGAAATAGTGGTTTTGTTTTCTTCATAGAAAAAACCCAATACAATATTTTTCCATTTTATATTCAAATTCAGACGGTTTTCTATATTTTTCCAAATCAATTCTACATTTCTACAATCAAAAATTTGATGTTTTGTATCTTCAAGTGATTCACAAAAAGGACATTTATTCGATACATTTCTATTCCATTTGTGAACATTTTTGTTATTAATTAGTAGATTTTGTAAAAGCTTATAATTAAATTCTGCTAATTGTTTATCTTTTATTTTCGTAATTTTTGATTGATAGATGCGTGTCTTGTTTTCCTCAAAGCTAAAGCTAAAGCTTCTCGACCAATATTTCTCGGAGTAAGGTTTTATAAAAGTTTTTTTTAGAAAAATGTCATAAATTATTTTGCTACTTATCAGGTTTATCGGTAGTCTTTGTTTATTTTCTAACATAATCATCGTCTGATTTTTTATGTTTATATAAGCTCCCTTTGAAACATCATGATGTTTCTGTATAGGTTTTACAACTTTTTTTAAAATGTTGTATTCACTGATTATGTTGGATTTGTTTACAAGAATATTTTGAAAATAATTGATATCATGGAAGTTTCCATTTCCGTCAAACAAGTCCTTAATATATAAGATCCCACTTTTTATCCAATTGGTGTAGAAAAGAATTTTATCATTAAATCGAACAAGGTTGTTCAACCATATAGGTAGAGACAATATTTCATTATCGGGTATCTCCCTTATATTGTGTTTTTTATATTTACAATCGTTCAATGTACTGAAAATTTCACAGTAGAAAATTGGTAATGACTTAAATATTTGTTTTATTTCACCTGTACTTGTTGTATTTGTCCTAATAAGATACTCTGGTGAAATGAATTTTCTCGCGCTCTCGCAACACAAGATATAAAGAAGGACTTTAAAGATGAATTTTTTTCGTTGAAAATTCGTGTAACCCATGCGACCTTGAGCGCTTTCAGTTTGCAATCAATGTCAACAATTCCTATCCCTCCTTCATTCTGTTTTCCGATTAATGTATTTCTTTTTATCCGTTCTCTTTTTCCCCATAGAAAATTGAAGACTGTTTTCTTTATTTTCTTAATTGTTTCATTTTTAGGATATTGCAAAATAGATGCACTATAGTATATTTGCGTTAATGCTAAAGTATTAATGACAGTACTTTTTCCATATATAGTTAACTTTCTGGTGTTCCACATTGTGAGTCGTTTTTCTAATTTATCGACTTTTTCTGTCCAGTTTTTTTCATAGCACTGGTCAGAATCATGACCTATATATATTCCTAAGCATTTTACAGGTGCATTAGTAATATTCATGTCGTATAATTTATCATATCTGTTTTTCAAGGGCCCTAATAATATTCCTTCAGATTTATTCTTATTAAGTTGCATTCCTGATATCTTGCCAAATTGTTCAATTATATTTATAGCTTTTTCTATAGATTTTATATCTTGTAAAAAGAGCGATGTATCGTCTGCGTGTTGAAGGATTTTTATTTCTTTAGGCATAAATTCATTAGTAAAACCTTTTACCTCTGGAGAATTGTGTAATTTTATTGACATTATTTCTACATTAAATAAAAATAGCAATGCCGAGATTGGACATCCTTGTCGAATTCCTTTCGTCATTTTACAGGTTCTAGACATCCATCCATTATTTTTTATACGAAATACGGGCTTTGTATAAAGAATTTTCATCCATTTTATGAATTGATCTCCAAAGTTGAATTTATCTAAAGTGCTGAACATAAAGTTCCATTCAACAGAATCAAAAGCTTTTTGAAAATCAAGAAGTAAGATTGCTCCTTCTTTTTGGTTCGCTTCACAGTATTCAAATATATCAAGTAAAAGTCTTGCATTTTCACCAATATATCTACCTTTGATGTATGCAGATTGATCCTTATCAATTAATTTGTCTATAACTTTCTGAAGTCTGATCGCGAAAATGTGTGTTAATATTTTGTAATCACAGTTTGTTAAACTAATAGGTCTATAGTTTTTGAGATCGTTCTTTTCTCCTTTTTTATGTATCAGAGAAATAATTGATAATTTTTGCGAAAAAGTCATTTCCTGCTTTTCAAATGTCTTATTTAGTGATTCATAAAAATATTTTTTAATATCGTTCCAAAATATTTTATAGAATTCGACGGGTAACCCATCAGAGCCAGGAGATTTGTTGTTTTTCATTTGTTTTATAGCCTGCGCACATTCAGAAATTGTGGGAAGTTCATCACACATCTCTCTTTCTTGATTAGTTAATTGAGGACATTCACAATCTTCTAAATACTCGTCTATGTTTTCTACTCGGACCTGTTTTGTTGAATATAGATTTTCATAAAAATTACAAAGTGACTCCATGATGTCTTCAGTTTTATTTAATAATTTATTTTCTTTTTTAATTTCATGTATCGTATTTGCCGATTGATTTTTTCTTTCTAATCTTAAAAAATATGATGTATTTTTTTTCCCCATTTTCTATCCAGTTTGCTTTTGATCTGATAAATGCACCCTTAGTAGTTTTAGCATAAATTTCGTCTAATTCTGTTTCAAGAATTTTTTTCCTTCTCATGTCCATTAAGTAGTGCGGAGACGTTTCAATGTTTTCTATTTCTTTTTCTATTTCTGTGATTCTTTGTTTTCTAGTAAGACTTTTTTGTTTTGAAAAATTAATTGAAAACTCTTTGACGATAGATTTAACCTTTTCCCATCTTATTTGATGATCTATAAGAACTTATTATTTGTTTCATTGCTTTATATAAAGATAGAACTTTTCCGTAAATTACAAAATCTAAGTCAATTGCGTTATAAAGATACCACAATTTAATTTGGATTCTCGGAATTTTCTCCGACTCGGAAGAAAATACAAATGATTTAAATAACACATTACAGAGAAGATAAAATCGTATTATTAGTTGAAACGCGGTGTTCTCTGTGTTCAGAATTGTATGAGAAGTTTTAATTTAAATGTTTTAACTGTATTTCTTTACTTAATTTTGTATTTTTCAAAAAGATATTTTTTGATCAGTTACGCCATATATGGCGTTAATAAAGAGGACCTTAGACATATAAAGCAGAATTTATGCAAAATCTTATGCGTGAAAAGAAGAAAACACTTGCTGTTGCCTTCAACTCGACCTTCAGATTTATCGACGACGCATTGTCAATTAACAATAGTAATTTCCATTCCTACGTCGATACGATATATCCAGGAGAGCTTGAGATAAAAGATACCACAGAGACTGACACATTTTCTACTTGGATATTTTACTTGAAAAAGACGTAAATGGTAACCTAACAA